GTGGCCGTTGAGTTTTCCTTGGAGAACATTGAAAAGCGTCCGTTTGGAACGGCGTCTTCTTCTTTCTCCCTGTGCTAAGCCACCGCTACGGATATTCGATTTAAGTGTTCGTTTTATACGAGATGCTTCGGCTGCAAATACAGTTAAGCCGTCAGCATGTTATGCAAAGCACTCGTACATCACTCGCCGTACTTCAGTTCTACTCACCTGCCATGTAGAGTACTTTCGCGTCGTAGAACGATCCTTTTCTTCGCGCATCATCGGCCCAGGAGACCTGGTACACCTTGTCGTCTTCAACTACACCGCTAAAGTCCCTTACATCGTCGGAACTCACAACGGGCTGGGTCTTGTCGAGTAGAAATTCTACTAAAACATAAGACATTGTAGAGCCCGGGCAGGACCGACAGGTTGGAGCAAGCGGGCAAACAAATGAGTCGAGAGCGATCGTTCATGAAAGCTCGGCGAAGCCTCTATGGGCGAAGCGAAGTGCGAAGTGTCGTGTTCGGCGCTTCGGCGGGCTTCTGATAAAGGATGTCGGTCGGTTGCGTGTCACATCTCTAACGTCAGCGGTTTTATGGGCTCACGTCCCGAAATCGTTTTCTCGTGCATAGATTACTTTCGTATTCATAGATTTGACGAAATAGTGGTATCCGAACGAACTTTACGTCCTTTGACCGTACTTCTGTCTGCACGTCAAAGCTTTCTGACGTACAGTCAGAGGCAATCGATGTACAGTCAAAATCACCACCAGGACATCCTGATGGCATTTCGCGGCGGCCGACTGCCACCAGGAAACCATCAGAAAGCCGACAAGCGGGGTCTGACTGGAGTTTGACTGTCGGTCAGAGTAACTTGTTGGCCAATCAGACATGCTTGACGTACAGTCAGGCACAGTCAGCGGTCCACTAGAAAACATTGACTGCCAAACAGCGTTACATTGATGGATTTTTCCTTCGGGGTGGAAGGCCTCAATGAACTCTTTCGTCACCCTATTTTTGCGCGCCCAGTTGGCCCAGTACGGTGACACCGCCAAAGTCCCCAGGTCGACACTTGCACTCTCTGCAATGAATGGGCAAAAGCCCCCCAACCGTAGCTCCGAGCGAATATGAATGTTCTCGTAATCTATCATTCAGACACCTTCCTGCTTGCCCCACGTAGCACCTGTTACATGACAAAGGTATCTTATATAGCTCACACGAAACATAAGTGACAAAACCCTATTGAAAATTCCATCAAGCTACGTAATTTGGGACACTGACTGCCAGTCAGCAGCCTTGGTGGAACGTGGTGGACCATCAGACGTCATCTGATGGTCCATCAGATGACGTCTGACTGCCACTGGCAAGGGAATTTCATCATCAAGGGCAGCATTTATATAAGAGTAAAGCTATACGCACTCATAAATATCGCCAAATGCCTCGATAAAACAAAATGTTCGAGGAAAAAAAGAAAAAAAAAAAAAAGCAGGACCACCGCGGATCGAACCCGCGACCGCTTGCGTACAAATCGGAAACACTAACCGCTATGCTACGCCACCGTTACGGAAGCTCGATTTGACTATTCGTTTTATACGAGATGCTTCGGCTGCAAATGCAGTTAAGCCGTCAGCATGTTATGAAAGCACTCGTACATCACTCGCCGTACTTCAGTTCTACTCACCTGCCATGTAGAGTACTTTCGCGTCGTAGAATGATACTTTTGTTCGCGCGTCATCGGCCCAGTAGACCTGGTACACCTTGTCGTCTTTAACTACACCGCTAAGTCCCTTACATCGTCGGAACTCACAACAGGCTGGGTCTTGTCGAGTAGAAATTCTACTAAAACATAAGACATTGTAGAGCCCGGGCAGGATCGACAGGTTGGAGCAAGCGGGCAAACAAAACGAGTCGAGAGCGATCGTTCATGAAAGCTCGGCGAAGCCTCCATGGGCGAAGCGAAGTGCGAAGTGTCGCGTTCGACGCTTCGGCGGCTTCGGCGGGCTTCTGATCAAGGTTGTCGGTCGGTTGCGTGTCACATCTCTAACGTCAGCGGTTTTATGGGCTCACGTCCCGAAATCGTTTTCTCGTGCATAGATTACTTTTCGTATTCATAGATTTGACGAAATAGTGGTATCCGAACGAACTTTACGTCCTTTGACCGTACTTCTGTCTGCACGTCAAAGCTTTCTGACGTACAATCAGAGACAATCGATGTACAGTCAGAATCACCACCAGGACATCCTGATGGCATTTCGCGGCGGCCGACTGCCACCAGGAAACCATCAGAAAGCCGACAAGCGGGGTCTGACTGGAGTTTGACTGTCGGTCAGAGTAACTTGTTGTCCAATCAGACATGCTTGACGTACAGTCAGGCACAGTCAGCGCTCCACTAGAAAACATTGACTGCCAAACAGCGTTACATTGATGGATTTTTCCTTCGGGAAGGTTTTCTGTGCGCCTTGGTGCACTTCGCGCTGGAACGACCAACTACCCCCGCACCAATCCTGGAACGTATCTGGCCTATTTTTGGGGGCGCCGAAAACACTACCGGTATTCCATATCTACCACGTACTTGTTTCAGGTTATGGGAAACGCGGTGGAGGTAGGGGACCACTACCACACGCTTCTTTTCCCTTTCCGACCTCGTCTTCTCCACCCCTTAACATTCTTAAGAAGTGAGCTGGCTACTTCCGCCAAGAGTGTCAACGGGAACCCCGACTCCTTCAATCTACCAATTTGTTTTCTGAAACCTTCGGTCATCTTGTGGGCACATGATTTTTTGAGGGCCGACACAAGGCATGACACCGCTATGGACCTTGAACCACCTTCGAGTGGGAAAATTTAAAATGTAGTATTGCCTTTTTGGAGCGCGGGCAAAGCGACCAACAAATATAGGCATGTTACCCGGGTGCATCGTCAAATCAAGGAACTGCAGGGCCCCTTCCTTTGGCTCTTCACACGTAAACCTCAGGCTTACACCACACTTTTCGAATGCATCTAGAACGAAACACCCCGTATCGTCTTCTTCTGCTCCCTCATACAAAACCCAAAAATCGTCTGCATATCGAAACACCCTTTTTACAACCGATGCCCCCAGAGCACACACCACAGCCCTATCAACCCCGGATAGGTAAATGTCTCTCAAAATTGGAACAACACAAGACCCGATACACACTCCTTGCTTTTGTAGGAACAAGGAATTGTTCCAGCCGACAACCATGGCATTCAGATAAAATCGCAACATCTCTAGGATTAGGAAGTCTTCCACAGCCAGTTCACTGGAGTTTCTGAACCCCAGTTCCCCGTTCGTTCCTCTCTAACAGAGGCAATCTCTAATAGAGGCAAGCAGCTGGTCATGAGGTAGCGAATAAAATAAATCCTTAACATCAACGCTAAAGGCCGACCATTTCTTGGCCTCATTGTCTTTTAAAAAATCGCACACCACCTCAGAGTTGGCCACCCTGAAAGGATCCCCCACGTCCAACGGAGCCAACTGTTCTTGAATGAACGCCGCCATCTGCCGTTGCCACGTGCCCCTTTCAGTGACGATAGCCCTAAACGGGCACAAGTCTTTATGTGTTTTGGCGCTAAAAAATATCTCGAGATGTAGCCCTTTCTTAACACCATATCACACTGCCTAAAGTTTTCGGAAAGAACCGCACTCGCTTTTTCACAAAAAAAAAAAAAAAAAAAAAAAACAAATTTGGCATTACAACAAAGGAACTCTCCTTATCTGATTCGAAAACACGCATCTGGTTGGTCACATAATAATTAACCAAAGGTATATATGAGGGGGAGTGGAGTTTCCAGCAAAATGGAAGATTTCGGGGGGGGGGGGGGGGGGGGGGGGGCTACTATTTTGTGCAGCATTGCCCACAGGTATAAAATTTGCAAAAAGCAAACTTACCTAAAAATATAAAAATAAAAGGCTTTACTCCTGTCGAAACGCCGAGAAGCAGCCGGTCTTCAGACAATAGGGCGCCCTACACTGGTCGCTTCGCTGGATTTAAAAAACCTACCATAGAACATTTATTTGTTTTGTATAAATTCAAAATCGAACCCCAAACCCGTGCCGGCATTTCGATTAAAACGTAATCTACTAAAATTGTCTTACGACGGTAAAAAGCTTATCAGGGCACTTGGGGCAAACAAGTTATTACCAGTGCGCAGAGAAGCCTAGCTCGGAATTTCGCACTTTTCCAACTGCCCCTTAATTAGAGTGTACCTTAATGCACGCTAAGCATACACGATGGTAAGATACAGTGCTCTCTTAATTGAACACCGACATGAGATGATACGTCTTTGGCCCTTTTTGTGCCAAAGACAAAGCATCTCGTGGTTTCTTGAGAGGTTCGTTGGTTTGCCCGTTTGCTCGAGAACTATACTTCGTTTCAGCTTCGGTCCAGACGCAGCTAAAGGTACAAGCGCGAGCTCCGGGCTTTCAGCATCCCTGCCAGGCACGCGCGCTCGTGCAGTGCAAGCACTGTTCTGGACCACATGCTCGCGCTTGTAGCATCGGCTGCGTCTGGACCGAAGCTGAAACGAAGTATAGTTGGTATTCCGAAACGGGTTCATTTCCGAGTTGCACGTGCAGCGCCGCAATCTCAACACAGCACGTCGAAGTTCGTTTACGGAAATAAATTAATTAAAAACATCTGCAGAGCTTTCCTAACCCTTTTTCCCTTCCCCCAGGGCCCGCCGCAGATCAATTATAAAATTTTCCGGAGCCGCCCCCCCCCCCCCCCCCCCCCCTCCCCCCCTCTCCCCCCCTCCTCCCGGACGAAAATCCTGGGTGCGCCAATGGTCTGGTTGGTCCCAATAGCCCGTAGCGTCGGCTGCGTGTCAAGATCGTGCTCGTAGCCCATTTATGGGCTACGAGGAGGACCTTGAAGGAGACTGCGGCAATGCACGTAGAACCGAAACTGATTGTAAAGATGACGTCTTTTAGCCAAAAGGGAATCCACAGCCAATCCGTTTCAGCGCGCACAAGCCGGAAGTTGCGGTTGTTTTCGGCAACGCATTTCCTCTCCATCCATCGACTAGGTCGGAACTTCGGTGACTTCGGGCTCTTCGCTCTTTTCTCAGCTCGAGTAGAAAAGTGGAGTTTTTACACGTGGATTAGTGATTTGTTGTTCGTCGTCCGGAGAAACCGTGACTATGCCGGCCAGGGACGTTGTGTCTTAGCCGCACGGCATATGTGCCCCAAGACCGTAGTGCCGCGAGCAGTGAGCGTTGCATCATGGCTTTACAAATGCTCGTCCAAGAGTACTTGCAAATTCCCGTCGTCACCCGGACATACACCGCCGCTTGTGTGCTTACGACGGTCGCTGTCGTGAGTATTTATGCCCGCTTACAGCAGTCGCCTTTTCTCTCGAAGCTGGGGCGAAAGGGTTCAGCGTGTTGGGTTGTCTGTTGCCGTTTCGACGTTGCCAGAGAACGCCGCCCTGCCGCTTTTTCAGCGCGGGGCGTCCCCCCCACTTCGACGACTGAATGCTGATGAGCAGTCGGCCTAAACCACATCCGTTCCTGTTTGTCAATGTTTTCGCCGTCCATCGTTCGTGCCGAACGTGTTTTTGTTTTCTTGAGTGCTAGGCTCGCCGAGGAACGGGAAAAAGCAGACGCTAGGACGTGACTGCCACATCATCGTTAAGTGGCGTGTGAAATCGAAGGAACGCGCGCAAAATCCTCGTTCGTCCGAAGCAGAAAAAAAGACTGCAATCGCAGAGGGTTACCACTCAATTGAGTCTGAGCGTTGTAAACCCGGTACAGGTGTTAGGGAAAACGTTGAGAGCATTCTTTTCTCCAACGTGTGCTCCCTTTCCTTTTACTATCAGTTATTGGGTTCCAAAGGTTCCGCGCACAATGTCATGCACGGGACGTGACTGAAGTCATGCCTATATGTGGCTATCGAAAAACCTAGATCTCTTTTGAAAGCCGCATACCAATTGCCTGATGTCTGAACGTGGTAGACAAGTGTGGAACAGCCAACACTGGGGGTGTGCGGTACATAAAAAGTACTTGGATTGAAGTAACTAACACCCCTGTCGTATAAGAGCCTGTGTCATACTGGAGTAAAGTTGGGCACCACATACTTCAACTGATATACAATAACTGAAACCTAACAATGAAGCACAATAACTTTTCAACAGAATCTTCCATTACATTATTTTACTCATACAAATGTTTTCTTCTGACTATGGTGTCATAACCCCAGGTTAGCTGAGTGTAGCCTATGGTCTCCTGCTATATTCCAAGATAAGAATGAGGCAGATGCAAGTAGACACCATGATCAGATGTTTATAATGCAATTAATTTCATCATGATCAGATGTGCATTTCACCAATTTGATGGATCTGACTGCACAAGCTTGATTTTGGAAAGTCTAAGAAGGGCAAGAAGTAGAATCTTAATCACATGGGTAATAAATATGGCAAAGAAGCTCTGGGGTGATGTGTTCCAAGATACAAATGCATTTTTTGCTTTGGTAAGATTAAAATAAGCTAGCATGGAAGTATATTTGGACATGTTGACTGAACTCAACCATTTTTTCTGTAGTAAAAAGTGGAGTACTTTTCTCAATGTTTCGGACTAAGACTTAATCAGATTTGAATGGCATAGTTTATGTGTTCCTACTCTAATTGTGACACAAACATCTATTTTTAAACAGATTTTGCTTTTGTCATACCCAGATTCATTAATTTCACTTATTGTACCCTCAGGGCTCAATGATATTACAGAGGGGAGGATGGGGCGTGCATACTTTCATTTCGTGGACCTCCTGGTCAAGATTTTGAGCCAGCTTAATTTATTGAGCATATTTCTCTAGGTACAAACGCCAATAGCGTAATTTTCACTGCACAGCATAAGACTGAAGAGAGGCCAAAACACCCTTTGCTGTGGGGACAGCGAAGCTTGACAAAGTTGTCTCTAACTCAATTGTGTTCAAAACAAAAAATTTTTTTTGAAGATTGTAGAGTTATTATTGTTTATCATTTACATACCACTTGCTGGATGCTGACTGAACGAGCTTATTTCTTTTCATGTGACGAGCAGTGGGGTATCTTAAAAATACCCACCAGTTTTGTGCTCACTTCTCCACCAGTTCTTTCCCAGTAGATGCTCCATTTCTTTCAACTGGGAGAGCGCAATGGGAGAAATATTGCCCCTTCCAAACTAGTCACTGAAAGGGTGAGAATAGGAGGGTGTCTCTTTCGTATGCCCAGCATCCAGCAGACGCTCGTTGACTTCTGCCACGCGTTGGCGAAACGCCGGACTTTTACTGGAGGTAGGAGACTCGGGCTGGAGACGGGACAACTGAATGACTTCCCTGCCTTTGTAACCCTCTCAGTGACTGTGCAAGTCTGCCTTTAATGAGAACTACTTGGAAAGTCGCCCTTTGGAGCATCAAACTTTCTATGTCCCTGCGTTTGAACGCTTCACCAGATTGAATGTTTCGTCGTCTCGAGAGCCAAGAGGCCGCCCACTGGGTGGACGGAGCTTGCAGAGTCGACCGGGCGTCGTTTTGCAATGCAATTTTAGCGACGAGGAATACTCATAGAAATGCAGTTTGAGAGCTAGCTTATTTAAATTTCTAAGAAAGCACTGGGAATAGGTTTTTGAACTAAGTACAAGTCATCCAAACGTACGAGGGTTGCTCAAAAAGTAATGCCTCACATTTTCTTTCCCTCGTCCAAAAATAACAGTAGTAACGTGAAAATTTACAGGTTGCAACATTTATGTTTCTTGCACACATCTGGTAGTTTCACGGTTGCACAAAGAATACTGTGGTAATAGGTCGAGAGAATGGTGTCTGTGTCTGGCTTATGTCACAAACGATGAGCTGTAAGCAAGTTCCTAGTGGCAAAGAAGAAAAAAAAAAGAACTGGAAAAATTTATAATTGTTTGCATGGATGTCATACAATCGATAGGAGCACAGTTGGATGCCAGGTGAAAGGGATTAAAGCTTCAGAAGGTAGAGAGGCAGACTTGCATAATTGATCGTAGTTGAAGCGTACTGCCACCGCTACCAACCCAGACATATTGCAGCGCGCCGATGAATTTATTCATGCGAATCGGCACATCACGAGCTGACAATAGACCTCATTCAGATTCGCGGTCCATCCGTCGGACGTTGCGCCAACTTTTTTCCGTAGCCTTAAACGTAGGGACCCATGTTGGAGGTTATGGACAGAACGCGGCTGTGGGAAAGTGATGCCACACTACTGCCGTGTCTGGCTGTACAGCCTATGGAGAAATAAAAAAACAACCAAAGTAAATATATGGATTGGATTTTTTTTCTTTTCAGCTTGAATTTTTTGCAGCAAATCTTGGAATAATCATAGCGTTTTACTCAACTATCAGTGAGTGGACTCAACCTACACATTTGTGTAGGTTGAGTCCACGGTAGCCAAAACAACAGCAACAATAAAGACCCCAGGACAACTGTGACCCACGAGGCTACTTCTTACATTGCTTGTCACATGCGTGACAGTTTTTTCTCCATCACTACATTGTTTGTTGCTTTGGTCCTTCCGACTGGTACCAATGCGACTGTTTGAACCAGGCTTGCTAATATAATTTATTGAGAAATACCCAATGCCACCACCACATTCTAAAAAATAAACAAAAACAACAGCATCTTAAGGACTAGTGCGGAGAACACCATGCAGGCAGAGCCGGGACGGTGGGGAAGCCTCAAAGGTGGCGGAAGGTTTTTGTAGTTTGCACATTTATCGAGAGATGGCACTAGAGCTTAAAGTCAACAAAGAAAATGCAATGCCAGTGATCAACTTTGCCAGTGTCTGGGGCATAAGTGAAATTCAAGAAAAACTTTTTATTCTGCGTGAAAATGCCGGTCCTCACAAAAGTATCAAAACCTAGGAGTCAGTTGCCAACTTTTGTTTCACTGTACTCAAGCCTGATTTGGCACCATCAGGTTTTCGCCTCTTCAGGCCACTAAAGGATGCACTGCGCTGAACAAGGGTTGAAAACAATAGCTTAATTCGTGGAGTGAGAACACGGTTACTTGAGTGGAAGACGAGCTGGTACACGGAAGGCATGCATGCCCTTGTTCCATGCTAGCATAATGCCAAAATAACTGAGCAGAGACAATGTAAAAAAAATAACGTGAAAAAAAAAAAAAAAAAAAAAAAAAACTTGTGCAAGAAAGGTGCAGTAATATTCGGTCTGAATTTTGTATCTTTTGAAGAAACAGTTTTTGAGAAATAAATGTGGGGCATCACTTTCTGAGCAGCCCTCATACTTAAAAATACTATTTCAACTACAAGAGACATTCATGAATATATGTACACTGTGAAACAGAATTTGTCAGGTTGCAAATTTTCGAGTCTTTTTTGTGTCTGACATTGTGCAGGATTTCAAAAGCCTCTAATGAAGTGTGGACTTTCAAAAGAAATCTAGATGTTATAGTGCCCATAGAATGGCCCCTGGAGGTAAAAGGAAATTTCCATTTACAAACACTAGACAAGGAGTGATAAAAAAAAAGGACACAACACAAGGTCTCGAGGAAATTTGTACGGACATTGAAGCCTGTTAAGCTTGGGACAAAAACAATGTTGTTCTTATGTTTTTGCTCTGTCCTTGCCTTGTTTACTATTTGTATCTAACCGTTTCTAACATGCAGCATAACTCTCCTGTTATGTCTACCTGGATGCACTGTATTCCACGAGGTTTGCTGTGGTACCGCTTTATTGCGAGACTCTTATTAAATACTAATAATATCTTCTTTCCAACAGCAACTGGACATCATATCCCCATTCCAGCTTTACTTCAACCCTACATTGATATTGAATCATTATCAAGTGAGTGAAAAAATTGCCTATATTTATCCCGATAAAAACTTTCACAGGAGACCTTCGAGGTTTGAACACCTCTGTAAGTTTGTCACCTGCCTGACATGGGCAGCTGAGATGTGCATCCGATGTGCCCAAGAGGTTTCACTGTTAATACAGGAGTTGAAACACGTGCGTTTCAACCCTTGCAACCTGTGTGGTCCTAATACAAGCCAGTGGACATTTTAGATTCACCAGCTCACCCAACATGCATCAAAGAAAGGAAAAAAAAAAGAGGGACATTACAAGCAGAAGTTAACCAAAAAATGCTACTTCTATGAGCATGTACCTTGTTACAACCTTGACTTGTCTGTTAGAAGTAATTCAGAAGTGAACAACAGACATCAAGGCCCGTTCACACTCTTGCGACTGCTTGCGACCTCTTAAACCTGGGTTCCTTAAAACTTCTTAAACCAGAGAACACACTGGCGCCATCTATTGGGAAGCAGTGTAAACTCGGCGGTCCGGCATATTTTTTTTATTTCTCGCGCAATATCCTTTCTTTTTTGGCTCGAAAAACTTTTGTTAATGTTATAAACGAGCCTTTCTATGGGTATTACGCACATTTGACCTCGGAAATCCCGCAAAACCTTCGCTTTTGTGAAATGCAGTTCTAGGGTCACCGCATAGATGGCGCCACAATGTCAGTGTGTTCCCTCATTCTAGAAACATTTAAGAAGTTGTAAGAGATCTCGTCTCTCTTAGTTGTACTCGGTCGCAAGAGTGTGAACGGGCCTTTACGTCCTCCAAATAAACATGCTGGGAAAAGGTTGATAAAATATTCAAGCTGACCTGTCACATTGTTTTTTGCAGTTTGTTTTGTTATCGCGGCGCTCCAGGGTCGTACTGGGAAGACTGAATAGATAACTGGTTCACTTTCTTGCTTTCTTGGCTATGCTTTTGAGTTGGGGGTTACCATAAAATAGTGCAGTTGGTACCAGCTTACTTGCGAGTCTACTTTCCTGCAGGGCATGTGGAGGCGTGCAGCAGGGTAGCAAACGACGAGGCACTGATAGTATTCCATGGCCCTAGACTCGCCAGATGTAAAGATAAAGCTAAAAGTTTTCAGAGTGCATCGATTGAACATTGGTGACAAAAGTGCAGAGTCACCGTCGCGAGAGTCCAATTGGCACACTTTGTATACTTCGGTCCCACCATTGTGTCTGGTTGAGTCTAGGGTGGAGTCTGGTTGGCTAGAAAATGCGATTTGAGCTGGGACTTGATTGTTATCAGTGTCCAACCATTCGCCAACCTTTTTCTGTAAATGTGTGTATGGCTACGGTCTGTCGTGGTCTGCCGAGCGACGGCTACAGTTTGTCGTGTGAGTAATGTGCCCATCGACCCATTACAGGTATGGCGACTCATCACCACTTTCCTGTTCTTTGGCACGTTTGGCTTTGCCTTCCTCTTCAACATGCTCTTCACCGTCCGGTATTGTCGGATGCTCGAGGAAGGCTCCTTCCGTGGACGGACGGCCGACTTCTTCTACATGTTCCTGTTGGGTGGAACGCTCATGATTGTATCCTTGCTTCCGGGTTTGCTAGAAGGCTGCTCGTTGTGGACAGTTGTTTTCGTTGCAGTCTCTGAACGTTTCACCGCGGTGCCCTCTGGTGGCGTGCATGAGAACCGGGGATAAAAGTTTGTTGCCTCCAGAGACAGCTTTAGACTTTCTTGATCCATCTTACACCCTTTTTGTGACATTGCATGATGTTAATTAGCAAGATTTTCATTGTGCTCCCTGTCGCATAGAGGTGCAAATCATATTTATTTATTTATTTATTTTCAAAATACTGCCAATCCCCGTTAGGGGATTAAAGCAGGTATGAAACAAATGAAAACACACAGAATTTTTTCTTGAGGCGTGCGTAAAACAGTAATTTTTGGAGATCGTCACTTTCTTTCATATTCATATTTCATATAGAAACAACAAAACAGAACATATCAGAAAGAACTAACTCATGAATTTACATCTCGTAGTATGCTAGCAAATAAGAGTGCATCCACCAGGGAGTAAGTTTGGTATTTCATCTTCCCCTGGAACACTGGTGCCACATAATGCCAAATGCATGCTGTCTCCCCTGGGGTCAAGCATAGAGTGCAAGTGCTTCTTTATCTTTTCGTGGCAGTAAGCGTCGGCCACTGTTATTATCTCTGACAAGTTATCAACAATGCAGTTTTAGATGGGGACAGGACATCCTGTTTCACTTCAGTGTTTGGTTGATGCTTAGCATCCAGGCTGTAAGAATGTAATTGCCTCTAATTTCTCATACACTCACCTCCCCTCCACCTCAGGCCACCATTAACCCTGTGACTGCTATAAGAAGCGTGGTAGATATACTCTGTTCTGTTCAGTTCTGTATATTCTGTTCTGTTCTGTGGTAGATATATACTGTTCAGTAAAAGCTCTGTGTATAAGCTGGTGATAGCCTTGAATGACAGTGTGTACCCGTGCAGTGCGAGCATATTATACCTGGAGTTCTTTTAATCTCGAGTAGAATGCATGCTAACCCAGAATTTTCTCCCCCAAGCAAGACTTTTCCACATAGGGTTATACCAAGTTTCTCCCTCAAGATAAAAGTGTGACATTCTTTTTAGGCTGATTTTTAGATATTTAAAGGCATAAAAATTGACAGCCGTACTACGTAGATGCACCCTTGAAAGGAGCTGCCTAGCTTGAGTCTGAAACACAGGCTGCAATCATTTTACCGTAAAATATGGAGCATGTGCCCACTCAAAATTGGGAGATAATCATGGATGGGTGCTTGCCAGGTCCGAGAGCAAAGATGCCGAAGGAGCACAGGGTTGGGTGGGTCCTTGCTTGGTCTGATCACTGAACTCGGAATGGCCGTCGTTTGCCTAGATAGCCGACCATGCTAGCGTGTGAAAACAGAACCTTGGCATTCTTTTCACTGACAAAAAAGCATCCTACGACGCTCGACGCAGTTATTGCATCATGGGTACTCGGCGCAAAAACCAACGCGGCTGTCTCTAGGCTTAACAACTTTCACGAATTTACTGTCTGAAAACGGGCCACAGGGCCACGGCATGTGCATTGACATCAATATATCCGATGAACCAAACATGTTCGTGGTCCAGGCAATTCCTCGACCCCAATTTTGTTTGCACGCTGCGCGGTTACACCGTTTCTTGCCTCTGCAACTTCTCACTTGCAGCCATAACTCACGCATGCGTGTTGTGTGTGTAGCTTGGCTTGGCTTAGCCTGGCTGTTTGGCAACTGCACAAAAAAGAAGAAAAAAATTACTGACAACTGTTCATTATTCAAGTAAATATGGTTTATTGAGAAAAATTAAAAAGTGATTGACTATGCATCAGCTAGTCTGTCACTAAAGCCGCTTCACCCGTGCTATGCATTGGCTATGTCCGCCTTGTTCGCTGGTCGCGGAGATAATGGCTGCCCGCGGCCACTGGCCGCTTAATGTGTCTTTCGGATATTCTTGAACTTACTTAAAATAGGGAATGGGCACTAGATATGTCCTTCAATGATTTTTTAAATATCTCAGAAGGAAGGGATGGGCGCTTATTGTGACATGGATGCATGCTCGGTATTCTACAATGTCTGTGAAAGTACAATTTTTAGCTGTATAAAAAGTGTCTGTGGGCAACTAAATACAAATTTCTTGTTTGCTTCGAGCAAAGAGTACATCTTAAAAACTTCCAAATGGGAGAAAGATAGGCTTGTTTGCCAAATCATTCTTTGAATAATAAAACCTGATTTTTATCACCCGAATTTTATAATAAAATAAAGCCAGAAAAAGAAGGACTTTCCTTATACTAAATTTAAAATCTAGCAGAGGAGCCAAGACTGCAGGTGCACAATTGCTTCCCTGACAAGTTTTCTTAGCTGCTCAACCGAAACTAAGCTCTAAAGCAAAGCACTTGCACCGTAGGTTCGGCTCTTTTACAGCCGTCGATCTGAATGAACTACATGGTAAACCATGACTCTAAGCCTCCTCAGAATCGTTGGTAAAGTATACACTGTGCTGGACACTTCAAGACCACCTTTAGCAATACAATTAGAAAGACGACACAGACGTGTTTCATTGGTGTCATCTCCCAAGTTATCGTCATTCGAATTGAAACGCCTACCAACACGCTTTTAAAGAACCACCCTTGGGGTGGCTGACGGGCCATCCTCTTGGTTTCACCAAAGACATAGATGGCACTCCCGCATGCTGAGCGATTTCATGATTGGCTGAGTGTGTACCTACCTTGACTGGCATGCCATTTAGGTGATAGCAATGTTTGTGAACCAGCTGTTCCTGGGCCACGCCTTCACCACCATGCTGGTGTACGTGTGGAGCCGGCGTAACCCATACTTCCGGCTCAACTTCTTCGGGCTGATCAATTTCCAGGCACCCTATCTTCCTTGGGTGCTGCTGAGCTTCTCCCTGCTCCTGGGCAACTCTGTGATAGTGGACCTCATAGGTAAGGCCCGTCTCCTAAATGGGTCTTGCATTCGTTGTGACGGGGTTCCCATAGGCCTGCAAGAAGAAAGTGGGAGGAATTTCAGTGGCATGCTGATGCCTTTTCGAGGGCCCAGAAGCCGTAAAATTCTGTCGTCCCAAGAGCAACATTGTTTTAAAGGATGTTTAATTGCGTGACATAGACACAGAAAGAGAAAGGCTAGTACAGTCTGAGCTCATTATAACAGACCTGGTTACAACAGACATTTGGATATAACATACCGATTTGTGAGGTTCGGTTGGTTTTCCTCTATGCACCATTGACTCAACTTCATAGCTGCATACAACATACTCCTCCTACAACAGACCAAAATCTTGGTCAAAATCAAGGTCTGTTATAACGAGCTTAGACTGTAGTTTTACAGTCCCCAAGAAAAAATAGTTTATCGCATAGTCAATACGTAGCACATAGCACAAAGTAGTTTTACAAACTCCGGTTGTCAAGAGAAGAAAAGAAGGCTTTTCGTGTATGAGATATATAGACCAGTGTCCGAAATCCTAGCCCCCAGCAATAAAAATGGGAAATAAGAATCTCAAACGCAGGCTCTTGTGAAGAGAGGAGCTGCGCATAAAACAACATTTTTGCTTCTTACAGTACTCTTGGCATCGGTGTTGTTCTTGAAGCTTTGCGACTATGCATTTCTGACGTTCTTGCACTCTGATATGTGCGAAGGTTTCTAAAGAAAACAAAGTCTTGCAAAAAGCGGAGACCCCCCTACTGTGTCATCGTGTCAGCATAAACAAACATGGCGACACCCAAGGAACAGAGCAGACACTGGTTTATAGGTGTTGATGAGATTGAAGGTAGCTGATCTTAACCCCTTAACTGGGGCATGTCTTTAGACACGGCTCTGTTTTGACCTTGAAATGGGGAGCGCATCTAAAGATCTGCAACTCTTTCCTCAGAGGAAGGGAGCGTGCTGTGGAAAGTATGTTAATAAACACGTTTAGGCTCATTTTCATTTGCTGACTGGCAAAATTATTTAATTGCTTCGTCAGGAAATGTTTTCTTGCTCCCACACTGGATCATGGATGCTCGGAAGCGTTGCAAGGCTTTGACAGATGCTTCAGCAAAGTGACGACGATTTTTTGACAAGTACTTGTTTGGTGACAGCGAAACCTCAGAAATCTTTACAAGTCAAGCCTGGCATCATTATTTTTTTCGAAATTCATTTATAAAATGCATGTTTACATGACCTACCATACACAATCAAACATATAAAAATAAACAGCGACTGCACTTCTCTGTACTCTAGCGGAAGAAGATGCTATGCATTATTTCTTTACATTAAATAAACCAATTCAAATTTTTCGCCAGAAATAATTTTTTTTAGATTTCCGAAAAAAAAGCAAAAAAAAAAAAAAAAACTTTTTGAGGCATGGTAGCACACCGCATAAAAACCCAACTAACGCCTTCTTTAATACCTTCAATCGACACATAAAGTGGGAAAATAGTAACGCTCCATGAGGAGCCAAAGTTGTTTTACTATGACTGGACAAATTTGCAAATGTCAGTGCCACTGCTGTGGGTGCTCTGAATCATGGGATTTCTGAGGTTCTCTCACACTCTAGTGAAGTGCAGGGGGGCATGCAGAAATGGGGGGGGGGTGGGGGGGGGGGGGGGGGTGCTGTAGTAAATGATGACAGAGCAGCTCACCTTGAGATTCCTAGAATGCCTTCTTTGTGGAATGGCCCCTTCCAGGTTATATGCTGGGGAAAATTTCAGAATGTAGGAACTAAGTTGAAATCATTTTGTTGGGCACTGGTAAAACAAGCCAGTACTAACAGGATGGCTTTTTTATTGCGCTTGATTTAAGTTTTACGGTGTAGAACGTCATGTTTCATTATAATTATTGAAATTGAAGGCTTTCCAAGGCCTTCAAAAGGGTGGTATCATTTTGAACGTTTTCAAGTACCCATTGAAGTCGGAGGTTTATTGCACCATATTAGTAAACAGCTATGCCTTGGTAGGTGTTGGAGGTTCATCCGAAGAAAAAAACAGTAGCCGTGATGAGATGCGAAAACTTATAGCCTATAATGCTAGAGGACATTTTCTGAAAGTTTCATATAGAAGGCAGGACTCTCATCAGCGGCAGTCCGCTAACTTGTTGACTTGACGCCGCATCCTCTCTATAGCTCAGCTAGAGCACAGATATTAAGGTGTCTCAAAATTTTTTTTGCTTGTTTGTTTGAGCATGGTGAAAGAGACACTTACATTTTCTAGGGCACTAAATTTCACAGCATCTACTCGAGAAGAAAATTAAGCTAAATGATTGGTTGTTTGCAACCATATTGATGCCAGCTTAGCTGAAGTAAGAGCTCTCATGCTCTAACATGTATGAGGGTTGCCCTGAAAGAATGCCCCACATTTTCTTTCTCGTCAACAAATAAAGGTAGTAACATAAAAATTTACAGGTTGCCACATTGATGTTGTCTTCATACATGCAAGAAATTTCATGGTCGTCACACAGATGGTGCTGCTGTAGTAGTCTGTCAAAATGGCATCTGTCTGATGTGCGTCACGAACAATGAGCTGTAATTGAATTCTTAATGGCAGAGAAAAAAACTGTATGAAAAATTCACAACCATTTGTGTGCTGTGTATGGACATTGTGCGATTCATAGGCGTACAGTTGGCTGGTGAAATCAGAAAAATTAGGGCCTCGGAGAGTGGCGAAATGGAGACGTAAGATTGGCCGTGTTGGGGTGTGCTGTTGCTGCCACGAGCCCAGACGTTTTGCAGCGCGCTGAAGTCATTTGTGTGAATTGCCGCATCACAAGTTGACTATTGGCCTTGAAGCTTTCAGTCACCAAAGGAAGTATAACGCCAATTATCAATGTTCCCGTTGTGTGCGGCCTAACAGGAACCCAGGAAAGATTTTGATTCAGCATGACAGTGCTCACCCTCAAATAAGTCTCAGAACCCAGGAGGCAACCGCCTACTCTCGTTAGGCTGTACTGCGTCATGTCCCTTATATAGTCCTGATTTGGCACCGTCAGATTTTTATCTCTTCCCATCCACTAAAGGATGCACTGTGCGACAAAGGTTTGAAAATGACGAGCGTGATTCGTGGAGTGATGACATGGCTATGTGAGCAGGAAAGGTTATGTAAGAAATAGCATTTGCACAGAGAACATGTAGTAATATTTTGTGTGGACTTGATACATTTTGGATCAATGGTTTCCAAGAAAATAAAAATATGGGACATTACTTTCCGAGCAACTCTCATACTTTTCAGTAGGCAAATGAAGTGTTCTGATCCATTTTACAATATGCTGAAACATCACCTCTTCTCAATGGACACTTCTTTTTCTTACTGTCAGTTTTGCTCACTTGATTGGCATCTTCCTAGCTTTAGTACAAAGGGACGTGGGACACTTGCAACGTGTGTGCATCCATGTGCTAAGAAGTGTGTTTATGTTGAAGGTCCCATAGATCATTCTGTTGTGATCTGTGGGAAATGAACTTGGGGGTTTTGATGCTCTAAACATCCGGAGGAGCTAAGCAGAGGTAGCTTTTCTTGGTTTGAGGGCTGCTAGTGCATGCTGGCAGCACTCAGTGCTATGTTAGTCACTCCTTGCGACATGACTTCGTTTAACGCGAGGTTGTCAAAATGAGAAATCGAGTTTTCTCGTGGTCTGCTGCGATAAATTTTGATGCAAGGCAAGGATCTTGGCCTTGAACCTAAAGTAAGAGTATGAGTGAGCCAGTGTAAATAGATGGTAAGAAAACAAAAATGAAAACATGTGAAAAAAGACAGACGTAAAACAGTGTTGTGATGTTGAAGACCACTTCTCCGTTTGTTGTTTAGTTTTCTTTGTTCTCATCTGAATCATTATTGTCAGTTTTCGACTTCGCTGGTTCTGGGCACTAGATGCATTGACTGTTTTACCAGATCATTACTAGCAGCCACGAGTTTGATAGCAGTAGTCTGGACGTTTATCAGACTAGGCATACGTTAGTTTAGGTGTGACCACGGTGCGAGAAAGGAACGCATTTAGGTGATGCCACTTAATCCGACAGAGGGTCCAGGCTATGCTCTCAAATGCGGATAGATGGCGTTTGAATCAGGGGACCCATCAATCCACTTCTTCCCCATTCTATCAGCAAGGAGTGTTTCTTCCTCAGAGGTCTGCTCACCTTCGTGGCATTACCGTGCGTTTTGCCGTGGGCTAACATGGGCCTCTTCTACCTCTCCTATTTCACTGCGGGCCTCTTGGTTGTAGCAGACTCTACAAAAGCTTGAAACCCACCAGTCCCGGTTTGAGGTTAGCTTCGAACACAATCAATCTGTCCGTGCCTGTCTCCCTGGCGAGAGCAGCAAGTGGCATCACCTAAATGCGTTTCTTGCATTGGGGGTGTAACTTTATTAGCCCCGAGAAGTTCGCGTGGCGCCCCCTTACGGCGAACCGGGGTGACGTCACGGCGAGGAGAGAATTTTTCCCCGACTCGGCCCGCTCGCCCTGTGGAGGCTGTGACGACGGTAGCTGACGGCGCGCTCGTTTTTATTTAATTTTTTTGGCGTGTTTTTCGTTGAAGTGAAAATTTTTTTTTATGTGCCTTTATTGAGGTATGGCCTGTAGCTACAGGCAAAACTTCAACCAACATTTTAAGCATGGTTGACAGGGCAGGCAACGCATGAATCGCAGCTGGTATATGAAAATAAAGAAATATGGCCACGATTGCAGGAGCATCACTATAGGTTTACATCTCGCACAATAAATGCTGCTGATGGTCTGAATGAATTGGCAGGTTATGTATATTATTTTTTTTTTGTAGCTCTGTTTTTAAACAAGATCGCCGAAGCAGAAATGCTGCATGCTGTTCGAGCAACATGTTAAATACAGCCTGGGCCATGACGAGAGAATTACAAGTAAGACAGCCCAAGTGCAGGGGCAAAGTAAAAAAAAAAAAAAAAGGAACATTTATTATATACATTGCTCGCATTTGACCTTTGCTGGATTCGGATAGTATTTCAATGGACTACACAGGTGGTATCTGTGGACTTGTTTATATCAACCCCCAAGTAAGGCACAACAAACGTTAGCGAAGGTGTCTAGGTCGTTATTAGCCCCTTAAGCCCTAAAATTGAAATTTTACTTAAATCGAATTGTCCTGAAGTTAAAATACCTGAAGCTTTTCTCCCGCAGATTGTCGCTCTTCACAGGTTCCACATTTTCTGCTGATAGTGCTGCATCCACCACTGGACAGACGTTCAAATGCTTGCTTTTACTCCTGTTTTCCTCTGATGTCTGAGAGTCCAGCTTTAGGGAGTTTGGAGGCTGAGGAAGCTTTTGGGGACCTGCAGCAGTGTCCCTTTTAATTGGAAATGACAATTCAGACTAAACGGTGTATTTTCCGAATACCCAAGGCTGGAATAAAGAATGTCAGGAAAAAGTATAAACATTCCATATTACGGCACTATTGCCGTGCATAGTTTGGCCAATACATATACAGACAACTGGGGGCAATTCGGCCGTTTTTGCTGCTACCATACAAACTAATTTCCAGTAATTGTGCAGCTTCTAAGAAATATGCCTGCATGCATGTGTAAACTATATAATTAATTCACGAAGAAGCTACATTTATTTAAAACAACCCTGTTCCACGAGCACTTTCAAGATCATCAGACGCAGGGCCTTTAAAACATCTGCGAACCAGCGCATGCAGAGTGGCAGCGCAGAGTCAGGGTCGCGAGCTAATTTTCCGACCACCCCAAAGGCCCATGATATAAATGCCACTTCAAATGCCTTGAAAGCGGGATGTGATATCGTCTTAAATCGTGAACGTGCAAGGAACAGAATTCCAGCGTTTGAAACACTTGCGCCACCGCTTCACCGACCCCTCGCAAGATTGCGTTGTGTCGTGTGGACGGACGGGGAGGTTCATCGGCCGAATTGCCTCCGCCGATAGCTTTCGGGATTTTTAACCCAATTTTAAAGTTAAAAGGGACAAGCAGGCTTATAAAATGTACGGAAGCATGTCAATATCGGCCTAACTAAGCGTCATGTACACCGAGTAAACGAAGTCCAGCTCCTCGAAGAGCTTGCGGCACACAACGCCAAACCAGGAAACCGGTGCTGGGAAGCGAGCCGATGCGAGATCGCGGAGCGGAGTACTCCCCCTGACGTCACGGTACACCTCACCCAATCCGGGCGCGGCGACCGCAGCGACGCTCGTGTTCGCTCTCTGGGCTAATAGCTGGCCTGTAAAGATTGCATATTTCTGTGCTTAAAAGTCTGGACGATCCAGACAAGGATTAAGCTGTTTTAATAAAGAGCTTTGAGGACTGCTTACAATTTGGTATGCTGATATTTGGGGCAGAGATAACGACCGCGAGAGTGATATCGGGTCTGTCGTGATGTTAAAAGGAGCACATTATTATTTTTTTTTAGCAGAATTCCATGCAAAATACAGATCTGTTTTTTTTGTTTTTTCTTGTGGGGGAGCACTGTGGTCATCAAATCTACATGAACTGGCACGTTCGGCCAACAAAGCAGTGTTGATAGACACTTTGTCTGTTTAATTGGGGGGATTAGTGTTTCCTACATTGACTTGGTCTTTCTCTGTGCTTACAGGTGTTATTGCAGGTCATATTTATTACTTCCTGGAGGACATCTTTCCAAACCAAAGAGGTGGATTCCGTGTGCTGGCTACACCAAAAATTATGCAAGTGTCCCAGTGTTTTTTTTTTCTTTTCTTTTTCAGTTTTTTGGAAAGACATTAAATGAGCCGTATCACATTGCACCATTTGGAACCTGTCGAATAACAATAAAGTCGGCAAGTTCTTCTAAAGAACGGGGAAAAAGAAACAGTCTGCTCTTACTTTCGAAAGTTGACAGTGGAAATCGTGTTTCTGGCTGCTTGCCGTCTTGCACTACTTCTCTTGTGGCCCAATGTGCGGTATGCCTGGCCCACTTTAAGATAGGAACTTGGCTTAGTGGCACAGCACAGAAGAAACCTGTTGTAACTCAGCAACAAGTGACATAAGGTTTCATTCCCATGCTCGCAGATATACTTAAGTTCTCCAGATGGTGGAGCTGCATTTTCCCTCTTGAACCATTCATTGAATCGGAAGTGAGCTGGATTTGTCGCAATGTTCTGAACTTCTTAACCTAAGTTTAAGAAAGAGAAGTTTCCAGTTTATGATTGTGCCAGCACCTAATGCGGCTTTAGCACGGCAGGCATGCACAAATGAAAATTACAAATTTTACAGAAGAGGCAAGGCCGTCATTCTTGAAGTTGACATAACTTTGGTGAAAATAAGCCATGGGAATTCATATGGGTTTAGGACGGCTCGCTTGCCTTTGCCCATTTTCTGTTGCCTCTATCAACCAGTTCTATGTGCGTATCCTGGCATTCGTTTTGACACCAAGGAGAGTGTTGTACACCTTGCAAAAGGCCTATTGTGTTAGGCATGGTTGTGCTGCCATGTGGCCTACTGTGTAACGGTGGGCCAGATTGCCATTAATTTAGCCATTACAGGAGCATTTATTCTTTTCAGGGATGCATCTGCCTCCCCTACTGTCAATTGGACAATAAGAAATTGCTTAAAACTTACCTTTCTTATCTAATGGTGAATTCTGAGGGGAGGGGGGAAAGGGTGGGGTCTAGATGTTTTGACCCCTCTCCCCCCTTGAATTTTGTGTGTGTAAAATTTTAGGGTGGGGCAAGGGGGAAGGGGGGCGGGAAGGGTTTCTCAAACTTGTGATACACTGACCGCCCCTTCCGGAAACACCTGCATCCGCTCCTGTTCTCAACGTACCAGTATTCCATACATATCTTGAAACCTATACTCTCTCCCAACAGCCCTCTTGGGCACTTGAAGACAGGAGGGAAGTGCAGTCCTTTTCAAGGTCTCTGAGGGTCTATTTTATTTCCTTCTGCAGAAAGTACCTGTTTGAAGGAGCACCGGCAGACCCAGACTACCAGCCGCTCCCAGAAGACAGGCCTGGAGGATTCAACTGGAGGGACAACGAAAACAGGGGAGCCTAGTAGTGCACCATGAAGCATCCAGGCCAAGGAATAAACCAAAGCATGGTTGCTTCCTTTTATTACAGCCGGCTTCCGTGTGTCTCTGTTCAGGGTACAAGCACACCAAGAGGCACACTTTGCAAACATGTCGAAAGAAAATCGTTGTCTTACAAGAGGCAGGTGTCTGAGTGTAGGGCGTACATGCGGCCACGCTGTTGGAGAGGAAAGCAAGTCATAGCTTCATGACATTTTTCTCTGACTTAGCATCACAAACTGAATTCCATTAAACGAGTTCTAGCTTGTTGATAGTGGACTATACGAGTAAAACGTGGGGATAACTTTATGCTAAACAAAAATTAATAAGTAGCTGCCTAAATATTTACAAGTATCTACAAATATTCAAGAAAGTATTGCATCATTTTTTTACTGTGACCACGGTAGTAGAGCTCTGAAGTTTGCAGCGGCAGTGATGTGATTGCTGCGCCAATTGCGCCAAACTGCGCCAAGGGGCTAACCCTGCTACATCCTGCTACATTTCGCCAAAATATGGCTAATCTGCGCCAAGCCTGCGCCAGAGGACCGATTTTGGTTGCCTTTCAAAAACGAAACTAAACTGAAAACCGAAATTGAGCATGCGTGAGCTTGGTGGCACAAAAGACGCCGCCGGACACAAAGTACCCTACATCAATCGCTATTCGGTCTTGCATGATTTTTCCCGTCGTCTCGCGCTCTCGTCGTCTCGGAAATCTCATCCCGCGTCTTTTTTTTTTTTTTTTTTTTTTTTACTTTTTTTTTGCGATAGACGCGTGCGTGTGCACACCCTCCGATGTTAGTGTGCCGAGTGCCAAACATGCCGCACGGCGAGAGTTAAGGTACGTTTATACTCAAACGTAACGTGACGTCGACGGGCGTGGCGTAGCGCAGCCCGCACAGATACGGATTGATCGCAGATATCGAGTTTCTGGTTGCCGGCCAATGAACGGCGCGCGTTCTGCGCTACGCTGCGTTCACTGCGCTCAACGTCGTAGTATAGACCTTTCCAATGTTTACAAATCCACAGCTCAGCGTGCGAACTCCACAGCTCAGCACGCGCGTGTGCGTCGCTTCGGAGAGCGAGCAAATCACGCGCCATACGCACGAACACTGAAAATGAAACCGGCCAGCAGCCCTTTTCTGGAAGGGTCTATAAACAGCCTTTTACTTGCGCGGCGAGAGTTACTTCGTGAGCTGAAGCGCTCGCGCGACCACAGTCGCCGTGGTCGCGCGACGTCGTATGTGTCCGTCCCCACGTCGCTGCAGATATGGCGCTTTCTAAACTGAAACGCATCGACATTCCTGCTCTTGTTTACATCATACGCTGCTAAAAAAATCCCTCCTTAACTCAATGACTGCTTGGCGAAGTTTTGATTACCTAGGTTTTTCTCGATAAGCTTTCTTTCGAGAGGGACCCCAGTACGTGAGAAACCTGCCGCGAAAGAAAGTTGATGACGAGAAGTGAGCTAAAGCAAAGAAGGCGATGTCTGCACGCTGAACCCGCACACCGCGCTTGTTTGTCTCGAGTTCAGTCGTTGCACAAATTTAAGCGCTCCAAGAACTTTTTTACCCTGATTCGATCGCAATGTCTTGCATCGATACGCTCAGGTTCTTTTTTTCTGTGTGTTTAGCCTGTACCTCGCCTGCCGGCCTGGCAAGCACGCGCCGCTGGACTGTTTATTGTCGTATGCTGGACAGTTACATTTTGCATACTATTTTGGGAACCAGTTGGCGACGGAGCGGAGTGGCATGGTTTCGGTTTCGGTCGAACAGTCGTTGTCTCCGCTCGCGTGACGAAGTACGTGTAACTGCAAGCCTGCCGAAGTTGCCCTCACGAGCAGGTGAACATGATTGCACGAGAGGCACCAGCCGGGACGCTTGCAATCCATTGTTTTACATTTGCTTACTTTTTATAAAAATCTGCCACGTCTGGAAACAGTAAAACAATAGCAAGTGTTTTTTTTTGTTTTTTTCGGAATTGCTCGGCAACGCCTACAGCATTGTATACTTGTGGGATGTCTCAGCAGCAAACACTCAGGCAGCGAGTTCCGCCCCAACACGTCACATCACAACACAACACGTAGTGCCCTTCGTTTGTCCAGCACTTAAAACAAATATTCATTTTTCTAAGAATATATTCTCCAAAAGTCACTTTTTTAGCTTTAAAACACTGTTTTGGCTGCTCCAAAAACCACTTTTGCTCCTCCAGAACTCTGTCTTGGCTGCTCCAAAGGCCACATTTGCTGCTCCAAAACACTGTTTTGGCTGCTCCAAAAGGTGCTCCAAAATGGCTTAGGCCCATCACATCACTGCAGCGGTTGGGCTCTGCTTTTGAAGACTAGTAGCAGATGGCCACTTGTGGAACCTTTATTATACCAAGAATTGTAGCCAACATAGTGCCTTCGATTGGGCAGCATCGGAAGTGGTCTCACATGGAAGTGGTCTCACACAATACTCCCCCCTCCTAAGCCTCGCAGCTTAGGAGAGGGGAGTATTAAGGTGATTATACTGCCTGCAGAAAACAGGTCCTACGTCGGCCTTAAAGTTCAGAAGCAGCCGACACCACGACGTCAAACACCACGCAGCGTCAAAAGCGCAAGTCACTAGGTCTTTTATGTTTATGATTGGTTCAGCGAAGATAGACTACAGAAACATTGAACAACATGATGGTGTGCTTTTGACGCTGTAATTGGTCCCATCAGCACGTAGCGTCGGCTGCGTTTGGACTTGAAGGAAACGAAGCATAGAGCTGGAAGTGGATATGTGTCCATCCGTGATGTGCTCTTTCTAAATGTGAATGGTAAAAGGACTATGCGTTTTTATCCTGGCCCTAACAAATGACCAGGGCAACCAGCACTACCGTAGCCTGTTCACTTATAAAGGCGACCTGCAATCAATTCCAACATTGTGTTATCGCTGGCACATCTCTTATGATGCCTGTTGCTTGAAACCCAAAGTGCCAGCCCCGTAATGAGCCATATGGGTGATTTCATCTCAACTCGGGCACAGATATAGGGTAGAATTTTTAATTTTGACAAAAAAAAAAAAAAAAGTATGTTTGGGGGCAATTCCTATAATAAAAGACGCAAATGGCAAATTCGTCGGAATTTTCGTTCTCAAGTTATGGACCGTTGTAGCGGCCAAGGTGGAAACTTACGTTTCTCCAGCTTATCGGAGGTGCCATATTTCACTCCATCCCTTTTCCCTACTTTTTACGCTACATCAATATAACTTCTTGGGAGCACTCTAGACATAGGCTTTTTCATGCTAATTAAGCATCTAGGTCATAACATTCTTAACGTTTTTTTTGTTTTTTTTCATTTGTCAAACCGCCTCTCTGCGACGATATTTGACGAAGTTCAGCAAGCTGTGCTGTGTGACCTAATCAACATATTTTTATGAAATTTGTATCACCGTAAAGCTCCAATTAAGTTCTTTCTTTTGAGTATAAATTCAATTCGCGACTCCAGCAAAACGGACGCCGCCAAGCGGGAAAACCGGGAACCAGCCGGTCCAGGTCGCACCGCGCCCCTCCACGTCTGGTGGCTTTCGCGGAGACGTGTTGTCGGCGCGGTGGCGAACGATGTAATTTGACGAAGGTCCGAATATTTCTGAAGTTTGCCTGAGTGATCATTAGTGTGGTGAAGCCTCAGTAGATTGTTTTCTTCTATTACTTGTTTGAAAGCCCGTTTACTCCACAGCACACGGTCGCGTGCTTTCGATTCCTTGGATGGGGAGGAATCACGGAAAACTTTTTGATTTCTTGTCTGTCTCGAATCACATTCAAAGTGACGACTGCTTGGTAACTGATACTAGAGGGAACATCAATGTTGCAGTCAAGTGAATGGGAAGGTTCGATAGCTGCTTTTCTTGAGTTTGGTTGTGTTCGGTTAGCTTCAAGTTTGAGCCACCCACGCCGGTCGGTGCGTTGGCTATTCATCTTGGCTGCTTTTCGCCGAAAAAGCCTCTGGACCACACTGAACGAGTTGGGCTGATTCGCAATTACTTGATTCAGAACGTAGCAGCTTGGGCGAGTTGGTTGCACATGATTACACACACCACAGCGCACTATAGCAAACAACACTCACACCTTACACACGAAAATAAAGCAAAATTCAAACAAACCGCGCTGACTGACAACTCTTTTTATATAACTTTGTCTTCTTCAACCTCTAGCACCACCGAATTTTCCAAATCACGCGCACCGATCTCCTAGATGCCTAGATTCAGGAAAACTTGCTCACTGCAAATGATGAATGAGAGAAATTATCTGTTTTAAAAAGGTGGGAGACAAGTCTCGCAACGTTAGATGCTGTCACGGCGTTTTGACCTATAGTGCCTCCAATATTTATATTACGAGGACGTCGAAGCCAGCAGCAATATACGTCTACATTGGTCAGGTTGACTGGCCACAAAAAAATACTAATTTTCTCCGTTCAATGCAGAGAGGTTCTGCGCGGATCTTCAATGAAGACTCTCTTCAGTTTGTCCCCGTGCTGCCGGCTATAGAACCATTTGGCTAAGTTTAAGTAGTATGTCTCCGTCTGACTAAGCTCATATTTCAACCCGAAGACTATACTCATATCGCTTCAGTGGCACAGAGTACGTAATATAATACATAACCCGCTCGTCAAAATGACTTCTTGATTGCTACTAAAACCTGAATTGGAATACGATTATCAGCTGCTTAGTGGGGCGACGGCGGGTTAACGAGCAGACGACTGGAGCTGTTTCGTAAACGCGGATACGCACAAAAGCTTGATTTCGCGGACAGATAAGTCGCATGGTCGAGGCATGCGAGTTAGCTGAAAAGTTACTCTTTGTGGAACAATTCTATAGTCATCGCCGCTTTCCTTAGATGATCAAAACTGATTAATATATTACCGTCTCTCCGGAGCCCATAGTTTCGGTTTTGAACGAAATCTCCGAAACGAAAGTTTGACACGAAAAGAACAAAAAAACACCGGTCTGCACCGGCTACACTTAACCGTCTCAGTTCAAATACCTATAAAATTGGGCATTAAACAAAAGAAAATCTGTTAAATTGAACGCGCCACCTGTTCAGGCGGCCCGGCCGAGCCGCCGCGACCTGGACTCAGCCGCCATGTTTGTTTGGTGGGGGCGCCCCCTATAGGTCGCTGGAGTCGCGAATAGTTTGCAAGAGTGTATAATGCGCTACATGTGCCTGAAAAACGAAAAATTCGAAAAACTGGCAAGTGTGGCGTCGATTTTGTGAAAAACCCCACATTTTATTTCTTTTATTTTCTTATTCACAGTTAGTTAATATAGTAGTCTATCAGAAACTACCAACATAAATTGTAATATATTGTTTGTATGGCCGCTATTAAGACTCGAATCTCGTGCTATGAGCGTTTTGAACGGGACTTCGCATAGACGCTCTGCTGAGCAGAATTTTGGCCTATGTAAGGTTTTCTATTTGTCGTTAGCAGTTCAGATTAAAATAAGCTCGACCACGCCCTCTTTTCCCGTATTGTTTTCTGTCGGCTTTTTGCGAGGCGATTCCTCCGTCCCAGAAAATAAACCTCCCGGACAATTACAAACTAAACTTACTATATGCCAGCGTAACCCGGGCGGCGTTCGATCGGATTACTACCAGCGTGCAAGGGTTGGCGAGGTAGTTTGCCAGGTCGCTTCAAGGTTTTTCTGAGCCTCAACCTCCTGCCTGCCCCTGGCCGTTTCGAACTGGATGAGTCTCGTAAAATAGTGTGTTCGTGTGATCACTATTGTGTGATGCAGGTTAAAGAACCCCCCCCACCTTCTTTACCCCGGGCTGGCGGTCACAATTACTGATCCATGGTCACACGTCACTCTGCACTGGCAATTATTCCAGCACATTCGGGACACTCGTCGCCTCATTTAATTGCGTGACCAACTTCGCAGAATCTAGATATCACACCCTAACTTTTCTAAACTTGATTTTGTGAAAACCAGCGAGTCGTGAAAACGTTATTTGAAACAAACTGTGGAGGAACTTTAAAACCGGACTTCGAACTTTGAAAACTTGAAAAAATTCAAAATCTTCGAAGCTTTTTTTTTTTTCGAATTTATTGTTAAAAGAGAATCGAAACCTTCGAACTTTATGCAAAAAGAAATTCGAAAAATTCGAATTGTTCGAACTTCATGTCTATAAAAATTCGAAGCGTTCGATTTTATTTCCAAAGAATTTCGAAATCTTCGAATTTATCGAACCTGAAGTAAAAAAAAATATTCGAAATATTCGAATCCGAAATTTTAGAAACCGTGAAAGCTTCGAACTTTTCGGATTCGAAACTCCACTGTGACCGAAAGTTGCGAATTTTTCGAATTCGAACCTCGGTCGGTACGAAAATATCGAAAATTTTTCGAAATCGAACCTCAGTTTGCTTCGCAAATATCGAAACCTTTCGAAATCGAACTTGGGGTGGTTCGCGACATCCCTAGTTCCATTAGGGTCATAGCAGAGAGGGTAAAAGAGAAAAAAAAACACTCCCCCTCTCACCCCGCTGGTCGTCCGCTCCGCCGAGTGGGCTGTAGCTAGCGCCCGGCTGGCGTGCAAACTCTGTTTAAAATCGCGTCATATTGGAACTTTCAAGCGCAGATGCGCAGATTTTGGTATGCCAGTTATCGTGTAAGACTATGCTAGATAAAGAGAGTCACAGGGTCCAATTGCGCTGTTACCTGCGTGCAAATAAAAAACAAAAATTGGGAAAACTGTGTCAGATTGACCGGTTTCTTTGGCGAAAAGTAAATCCGGTTGCTGTACCGTTTTTACTGCACAAAAGTTCGTACTGGTGTAAGCCTTTAGCGACCATGAGTGGAAGTCTGAAGTAATAAATAAAACGTGCTCTGCTGCCGCAATACACAGAGTAGTTTTGGGTAGTACTGCCGGCTGACTCAACTGCTATTTAAGTAACGGAAAAAAGATATGATAGTTGATCATTTAGCAAAATAGAACAACAGAGAGTTATAGACTGATTTTGGAGTAGCCACAACTATTCTAAGAACGCGAACCACTTCACAACGGCAGCCACGAGCGAGAGTTCGATGTTCCGTACAGCCCGCCGATACAGCCCAAAGATGGAGAACGGCAACCTCCCGTTTTGTCGTCTGCTAGCGGAGTCGGACGCGTGCCCTCTCTCTCGTTTTACCTCGCCGAACCCGCTGAACTTCCCGGATGTGTGGAGAGGGCGCTGTGGTCGAACAAAATGGTGCCGCCCAGAGAGCGCTAAATGGAATGGTCTATATTATGGTTGTCGCCGTCGCTCATAGATGGCGGTAGCTGTCCAGAGTTCGGTGTTATTTCCTTGCTGGTGGACACGATCCTTGGGTGTTTTCTTTTTTTCTTTCAGAGAGACAACACAAAGAATAAGTCATTGCACAAGCTTTCTTTTGGTTACCTAGCGAAAGCTGCACGGTGCTTGCAAGGTGTCGAGACTGAGGAGCATCAAACGGAAATACTGAGGGCCGAAAAGCTGTCGCCTTCCTTACATTCGGTTTCATTTTGGCACGTCCACTTCCTCTACATTCTGCCAGCCTCAAACTCCGAACTGGAGGCACTATATACACGAACTCATCTCTGATACGTCACGGCGCGGTAGTGGCGCGTCGGACGCACTTCCGGTCCGGGACTGTGGGCGGAAGTGCCCATCTGAGACGTGCATTCCTGCGTTGTTTTGAAAGGAACCAGACAAAAACCTGCCTTCTTGTCAAAATGCTGCAACTGGGGCTGTACCAAAAGCGTCGAGAAAGGTTTGAAGGTCACTTTTCATGCGCTCGGTTCGTCCGAGAACGTGGATATGTGCCGTGAAAAGGGAAAACCAGACGCCGTCGGACTACCATTGCTTGGGCGGGAAACATTTTGGGTTGAATTCACGGATACTTCTGGCCATCAGATTTGTTTGTTTTGTTCCAAAATGAACACCGGAAAACCGTCAAGTTGTACGGACCACCTGCAGACTACGTTCAGTGCGTCTTCAAGTTCAAACGGTCGCCTGATTGTTCGAACTGTCGTCTGCTCTTTCAAACGTTTTTGCTTGTCGTCTGCTCTTTTAGAAAACACCGGCCCGTAGACCAAACGTGGGCCCGGTACTTGCGACAATAAGTAAGTGCAGGCCTCAAAAGACTTAAGTTTGAAGGTTGGTAAGCAGGCTCGACGTAAACAGTAGATACAAGGAGATGTTAATCATTGTTACCAGTGGCCATCACCGACTTGTTATGCCTGATTCGCTTGGTTAGATTCTGCTTGCGATTTTCAGTATCGACGTCGATCATCTCAGCTACGGTTCACGCTTTTGCAGTCCGAGCAACGTCGCTACTGAAAATTGCGAGGGAAATCTCATCATGTGAATCAGGCTTTAGCGTACATTCTGCGGCGTCCACGCGAAATGAATCGCCGCATGTCAGATTATTCACGCGAAGTTTTGCGGTGTAACGAGCCTCGTTAATTTCGCTGACGCCGCTCAAGTAGTCAGACATCGTTAGGAGGACGTAGAATCAACAATTGCAACGCGAACAAGAGCGTGGGGACTCACACCGACACCGACAACATCGCATTTCAATGGTTTGTTTATGGGCGACGGCGAGCTTCTTGCCCACACCCCCATCGCGCATGCGCGGCGCCGGTGGCGTCCGCTAGGGGCGCTCAGGTTTGTTTGTAAACATGAGTTGGTGTATAGATAGGATTTCGAGTTTATTCCTCGTGAAATCCGAAGCGTGTTTTTCGGAGTTTATTTTTGTTAGATTCCCGATTCTACGAAATAGAGTTTATATTTGCTATGTTTCCAAATTTTCAAGATTGAAAAGAAAAATATATATTAACCGGCGGGTATAACGTTTGCCTAGATTTATAAGTATGCACGTGTACCACGTGACATCGACGCCCTTGCCATTAGTAATACTAACTATCCCACGACAGAACTTGAAAAAGACATTCAAAATCGCTTTCCAACGTAGTCGTTGGAAAGCTTGTTTTCTTTTCATCCTATTCTACCACTTCTCTCTGCTCCTGCGTGGGGTGGAGTGCTGAGGTAGAGACCTCAGCTGTCCCTCCTATGAAATTTAAGAGTTCATGGCTTTCACGGTTATTAAATCACAACCCTACCTTCCTCTAAGATGTTCAATCTGGAAACCAAAACGGTGGTTTGTGTCGTAACCTAGAACTACAATGCCCCGCTATCCGTAACGAACCCTGACAGGATAAAGGTGAACCTTCTTTGGTCAATATTACGAGATTTTGCAGGAATCTGGGGAGGCCTCTACTGATGACCGCTAAACCTGTGCTCCGACAAAACTTTTTAGAAAACTGCCTCTTTTGTTCATTTTTAGCCAGTGCGACCTCAAAATTCTGAGTTTTTCGGATAAATCAGAAATGAAGAAAACTTTCAACGGCGAATGTTTTGCAAATTTTACCGGCTTCATAAAAAAAAAACAAAAAAAAAAAAACGGAACCGTATTTATAGAATTTCTTTCTTGGATGATGAGCTCTCACCCATAACATTAAATTATGAGAAGCGTTAACAGTGTAAATCGGAAGAGCTGGCGCCACGATTGCCACTACTGCGAGAGCAGCGGAAATGCAAAGCGTCCATCTCGTGTATATCCTGTGCACAAAGCGTGCAATTTCGAAACTTAATATCCCCAGCAAGGCAAAACAGGGTGTGGATGTAACATTTAGAGTTACCTAAAGACGTACGAAAGCGGTTTCACGTTTAGCCTGAAACTTTCAAATGTAATCCCGCCGTACCTGAGTGGCAACGATTGCCAGTTTCCTATACAGTGATAAGGTATGTCAGACGGAAATATGAGATTTTGGTGTGTACGCTTAAAATACTCCCAGAACGATATCGTGCTGAACATCTGTAATTAGTTCTATGAACAACGACGAAAGGGTGCTCATAGGCTGTATAATGTTTTGAGAATGAAATCACAATACGAAACAGTTCCGCAGTTCACGTGTTTCAGACTGTAAACGCTGTTATAAACATTATTTGAAGAAAACATTTAGAACTATACGACCTCCAGACTGATGCACAATTCAGTAAAGTATGCTTTATAAATATCTTCTTACAATGTCACAAAGGCCTTCGCATTCTCAGGTGTTTTGACTGACATCTGCCACAGCACTAAGCCGCTGCCGAGTGTAGCGACGCCATTAACTGGGGACAGTAGCGAGCAGAACTGACTGAGACTCACACCTAATTAAAGTTCACACACACAAAAAAAAAATGGTATGGCTCGGCAACACGGGTGGGTCTTTAAGACGATAAGTTCGTCAATGATGGTGAGCGCGCCTTCTTGGGAAGCAGATTCGTCCAGCGCCTTCTCTCGGTCACAGCTTGAATCCCGAGTGGATGGCTGCAACACCCCCTAGTAGGTTCTCGAACGTGACCTCCTTGAATCCGGCCGCCTCAATCATATCCTTGAAAATTTCCTGAAACAGCGAGAGAAAAATAAGGCGGCTGTTATGTAGCGGGCGGCAAGATGACACCCTTAGGTTCGTGACCATCGGCTGCGCTCGCACCGAGCGCTTGAGAGCAGGGTGGTAAAGGTGGGTGAGGAGGAGTGGCAAATCTCGTGCGCCGACACCCGGGGTCCCGAGTGAAAGATCGCAAAAGAGAGCGACAGAACACGAGAGAAAGAAAGCAACATTGCCAGCTGAAGGACGGCAGTCGCAATGGTAAACGCGAAGAGTGAAAACTCTCAGCAGTATAAACAGTGATAATTTAACGTTGTAAACTAAATTCTGAGCTATTCTAACGCTTATAAAAAGCAATAAAGTCATTACGCTGCATTAAATTCCCTTCTGTCGAAATCTCGGAAATCTGGTGGTTGCGCAGTTTCGTATTCCTCAACCGCGCCCACCCGTGCCCCACCGGCGAAGCCGGGTATATGGTTTAGTTTAGCGTTAATGCGAGGCCGTACATCTGCGCGCTATGCAAAAAGAAAGCTTCGAAAAGAACGCGAATATCTTTCCACCGGTAAGTTCGTGGATTGTTGAAGTTCACGAAACTGCTCTGATGATGTAACCGTGTTTGGGACCCCGAGGGTCTGCCTGCACGCTCCGCCGCTTGCGGCAGCCAGAATGTATGGGAAAATGGCGGACCTTTTCCTCTAGAGTTAGTATGTATGATCTCTATGCTAGAGAGCCGCGGGACACGAGCAGACAAACGCCAGGCTAGGAACGTAGCGCCAGGCTCCACCGGAATAAACCGATTAGGCCAACCATCTAATGTATACACCTCATATTTAACATTGGCGACAAGGGCGGGCGAGAAATCCGACAACGGTTCAAGGATGACTACGACACAAGGCAAGCTCGAAGAATTCCAAGGGACAGGATGGTCGGCCTGGGCGGAGCGGTTGGAATTCTTCCTGGCAAACGACATAACGGACCATGGGAAGAAGAGAGCCCTGCTGCTGACCCTTTGTGGCGCGCAAACCTACGAGACTGTGCAAGCGCTAACGGACCCGAGGAAGCCCGACGAAGTTGCCTTTGAAAGCATCATGTCCATGCTCCAACAACATTACGATCCACGGCCTTCGGAACTATTCAGCCGAAGCAAATTTCAACGCCGCGACTAACAGCCAGGCGAGTCCATCGCTAGCTATGTGGCAGATTTAAAGAAATTAGCCGCCAACTGCAATTTCGGCGTGCTGAAACCTCTCTCAGTGGCCACAACTAGCGCCGGAGCATCGACCGCTTCAACCAGCGCTGAAGGACGAGCGGCCGCTGCCCCTTTGACATTGAATCCAACCATGCTGCCGCTGGATGTAATGCTGAGAGGCCGTTCGGTGTGCAAGCTGAGCGTCTACAGCAACGGCTTTTCGCAGAGCAAACGTTTACGTTCAAGGAAGCATACGACATGGCAACAAGACTGACAGTGCGGTAAAACAGCAGCAGGAGCTTAAAACTTCCAAGACGGAACTGCATAAAGTCACGGAACCACAGGCTACGAAACAGACCTCGAATCGGGATCAAACGCAACCGGATCTACAGGGTAGCGTGCCGTTTCTGTAAAAAAGATAGGACACATCGAAAAAGCTTGTCGAAACAAGATAAGGACTGGCACACGTCGCTCAACCCATCAGATGGACTTCAGCGCAGAGGAGGACGCCCTAGAATCACTAAGTGGAGCTTCTGTTAAAAGCTACCAGTGGGACATGCAAGAACTGAACGCACAACGTGCAACCAGTTTAGTTCCCAAGTAGCTGGTGACTCTCAAGGTCGAGGGAAATAGACTCAAAAGCAGCATTTACGGTGATCAGTGAGGCCACCCACCGCAAGGTGTGGCCTACCAGACCACCGCACCTGCGAAAAGAGAACGTCACCCTTCGGACATGGACCGGCGAAGGCTTGACTGTCCTTGGTTCAGCTGAAGTGCATGTGAGACATAAGTCCAAGGACTACGTTCTACTGCTGGTTGTAACTAGTGGAAGAGGGGGCAACTTGATGGGCAGAAATTGGTTTCCAGCGCTCATGATCCAGGTCAGCGGGATATACCATCTTTCGCCAGACAAAAAAGTCCAGACGGTTCTCAGTGCACACAAAGCGGTGTTCAAGTCCGACATTACAGGGTATAACGGCCCACCTGTCCAGTTGGAAATCAAGGAGTCAGCAACGCCAAGATTCCTCAAGGCACGCCAGGTACCTTTCGCCCTGCGTGCTGTCGTGGAATGCGAACTGATGGCACTGCAAAAGCAGGGCATCCTGGAGCAGGTCCCACATTCAACATGGGCCACGCCTGTGGTGGTGGTTAGAAAGACGGATGGTTCGGTCAGGCTTTCCGGGGAATACCGCAGCACGGTGAACAATACAGCGAAACCGGTGGCTTATCCGCTGCCGACACCCACTGAAGCCTTGTCTAACCTCCGGGGTGGCGCAGTCTTCTCGACGCTGGACCTTGCGCAGGCTCATCAACAGCTACGGGTGACAGACGACACGGCAGAGGTACTGACAATCAACACCATCAAGGGGCTGTATCGAGTGAAGAGACTTCCCTTCGGAGTGGCGGCAGCTCCTGCAATCTTCCAGAAAGTCATGGACACAACATCAGCAGGCATCTCAGAAGTCATTGCGTACCTAGACGACATTATCATCAGCCGGGAGACTGCGAAAGAACACACCTATCGACTCGATCAAGTACTGACGAGACTAGAAGATGCATGACTAAGACTAAAGGAAACTAAGTGCCGCTTCGGGGTGAGTGAAGTAAAATTTCTTGGCCACCTCATCAATGCGGACGGCATACATCCCCCGCAGGACAAGATTCAGGCCGCAGTACAGGCGCCCAAGCCAAGGAACAAGACAGAGCTGCAGTCCTTTCTGGGACTGTTAGCGTTTTATGACAGATTTCTACAGAATAGAGCAACGATTGCGAAAGAGCTCTATCACCTGCTGGAACAGGAGACAGAGTCGCGATGGGAGGAAAACCACCACGAGGATTTCCAGAAGTTGAAGGATCTGGTGGTGCAGTATACAGTACTGGCACACTATGACGAAAGAAAACCGCTGCTGTTGTCCTGCGACGCTTCGCCTTACGGTGTGGGTGCCGTACTAGCACCGAGAGGCTCCGATTGCGGCCGAGAGGCTCCGATTGCGTTTGCGTCCAGGACACTGGAAACCGCTGAGCTCAACAACTCACAACTTGACCGAGAGGGTCTAGCCATTGTGTATGGAGTCAGCCATTTTCATCAGTATGTCGCGGGGCGAAGCATGATAATCTACACAGATAATCAACCTCTTCTTGGCATCCTAGGAGCTGACAAGCCCGTTCCACAAGTGTTGTCACCGCGGATGACCAGATGGTGCGTAAAACTGACCGCTTATAACTATGAGCTGAGATACAGGCCAGAAAACCGCCATCAGAATGCGGACGCTCTAAGCCGACTTCCCATGTCCACCACGGAGGAGGAGCCAGAAGTACCAGGAGACATCCTGATGTTTGAGGCTTTGACCCGCCCACCGCTCTCCGCAGACCAAGTAGCCAGGGAGACAGCACGTGACGCCGTCCTAGGTAACCGTATACCAGGCGGTATAAGAAGGCACTCTTCATCGGTATCAGTCCCCAGAGTACTCGCCGTACAGAAGTAACGCGGCAGAGTTGTCGACACACAGAAGATGCGCAAGCTGGGGGACACGAGTCGTGATTCCTAACCTCTTGAGAAGAGAGACGACGGCTCTAATTCACTCGGGACATCGCAGAATTGTCGCGAGGAAAGCTTGTGCTCGCAGCTACGTTGGTGGCCCGGGATCGACGCCGATATTGAAGCGTGGGTCGCTGCATGTAGCACTTGCCAGATACACCGGAAGTCACCTTCGAAGGAACCTATCCCTGTGTGGAATAGGCCAACCGAGCCGTGGGACACTGTTCACCTGGACTTTGCAGGTCCTGTCGAGGGTCATGTTTTTCTGGTTGTGGTGGACGCGTTCACGAAGTGGCTGGAAGTGTGCGTGGTCCGCAACATGACGTCTGCCGCCGTCATTAAAGACTTACGGACCATTTTTGCAACGTTTGGTCTACTAAGGAAGATTGTGTCGGACCATGGCGCGGCTCTAGTTGCCGAGATGAAAACATTTCCCCGAAACAACGGGATCATCGCTGCAACAAGTGCACCGTACCATCCCGCGACTAATGGCCAGGCGGAGCGCATGCTATAGGAGCTAAAACTTGCACTCGGGAAGAAAAGAAAGGAAGAGCTGAATTGTGTGCTGGCCAGGTTTTTATTCAAACAGCACATTACCATTCACGTTGCAACGGGAAAAACGCCAGCATGGTTGCTTTATGGCAGGGAACTTTCATCAGCTCTGGAACGATTAAAAACTGTACTTTCTGAAGAGCCAGCCAGCACGGAAAGCGTCACTAACGCACGGGAACTGAGCGTGGGACAGACGGTCTGGATTAAAAAGTTTCCACGCGGCAAAGGTTGGGTTCCTGGCGTAGTTGAACGTCAGATGGGCCTCCGTTCATGGATGGTGAACATAGATGAAGGTTCGGTACGCCGGCATACTAAGCACACACGCCAGCGATGGACAACAGCCAACACTCAACAAGAAGCGAAGACTCCGTTTCCTGTGTGGGACCTCAAGATTGACCAGAGCCCAACTCCACAACGGGCACCATCTCCCGGTAAAGATACTCCAGCTCGACTAGACGCATCACCCCAGCGAGACAGTTGCAGGCCGGCGGTGCTTCCTCGCGAACCAGCGTCAGCTTCTTCGACGGCAGACGCTGGCCCTTTCACTGGTACGCGGAGGGGCACTCAAGCGCGACGACAACCACAACGCTACGGGAGCCACGACTAGTTGGAGGGGGTGTTATGTAGCGGCTGGCTAGCTGGCGCCCATCGGCTCGTGACCATCGGCTGCGCTCGCACCGAGCGTTTGAGAGCCGCGGGGTACGAGCAGACAAACGCCAGGCTAGGAACGTAGCGCCAGGCTCCACCGGAGCCTCCATCGGAATAAACCGATTAGACAACCATCTAATGTCAACATCTCATATTTAACAGCGGCCATTATAAGCAGTGCAGCAAGGTCAAAGCTCGTGCTTCTAGCCTCTTTCACATTGACTATCAATAGGGTGCATTGTCTAGTTTTCACGAGTTGCGTGTTGCCAAGCTGAAAGTTAACCAGCTCACCTGCATGCTCTGTTATTTCTACTCATTAGGTTAACCGTGGTCAAACATAAGTGGGTGTACTTTTGCTGCGGCGTTCGGCACCACCCACATGCCCCATCAGAGAGGAGATGTGGCTATAGAGTCAGTGTCATGCGACTAGCTACACGCGACCTTTCCTCCACCAAACATGCATTCTGATGCTGCGATGGCACCGTTCGAGTGTATTGCAACTGCAGAGCTATGCTTCGATTGTTTGTTCCTGCGGAGTCTGCACACCCCTGGTAACACGTGGGTGCTGGAAACTGCTGCTACTGGACACTGATGTGAACTGTGCGTGCTCTTCTCTCATAGGAAATGCCACAGAAAGTTGTTCCCAGGTGTATAACTATAACAAAGATGAGTTAGACCCCCGACTTGAAAGGTACGTAAGCAGCGCCGCCATTTAAGGGGGGATGGCTACAGTGAACATGAAAACGCCGGAAGCTCACCTGGCTGGGAAACTTCCGGATACTTTCGACGAGGTACTGGTACGACTTCCAGTCGCGAGCCAGCAGCAGCCCCATCACGGGAATCACTTGAAAGGAGTACGAGTCGTACACGCTGCAAAGAAATGGAAAGGCAGACGGTTTTTCATCTCTCTGTGTTTGAATTACAGGTCGCTCTGCCAGAGTTCGCCTTGCAGGTTCGTGTGTTCCTAGCGCACCTTGTGAGTTGGTTTACCTGCCAGATGTACCGATCTGCTTTTGTTTCCACCAAATATCGACCAATATATCGGTGTGTGCTTGGCTGTTGCGTGATAGCACGCTCCCTATATATGTTACCCTTTCATTGACGTGCCGCTCCTTGCATTCTAAAGCGCCGATACGCACTTTTGATGTCTCATCATATAGTACGGTGTTAGCGCTGAGACGTTTGGGAGTTGGAGCAATCGGACGAAAAGACCGGGAGTGCACAGGCGAGCTCGTGGTAGCTAATCATGTCGCTTAACACCTGAGAGCGGAGTTTGAGACGTTCCCTTCTGTGTCTGTTCCTTCGACTAAAAGTTCTTCATTTTCTTCACAGTCTCAGCTGTTAAACGACGTGATTAGCAGTTAGATGTTTCTCGCAATACAAGGTAAGGAGAATTAAACTTATAATGATAAAAATAGCACGAACATCGGTTATGCCGAACTTCTATGCACTACAAAATGAAAAAAAAAAAAAATACATCACAAGCATGTGTACCACCAAAGTGAGGATCTAAGTACCCCTTGCATGTTTCTCGCCATGACTATCAAGTGCCAAAGGAGCCTGGGGTGGAGCATACTGACTGACTGGTTGGTTGGTTGGTTGCAATCATGCTAAAGGTATCAAAGAATGTTTTTGCATCCATTTTTATAAAGTGCATATTATGCAGGACAGAACAATTCTATAGTGCATAAGGGAAGGGCAATGATGTGAACGTTACTGCACAAAACTGCCAATGTGCTTGCCCTGCTAAGTTCTGCCAGGTTTCACTAAAACGCGAGGCACTTACGTCAACATTGTGCCAAAAGTCAATTTCTTTCTCCATACTGGATTCTAAGAAGGCGTGTTCCTATAAACACGCACAGCAAAGTTCTTTTTCGCATGCACAACTTTTTGGGCGGATGCAAATGACGTTTTCCAGCCGCATCGGGGTTCCTTCCACACTTTGTTAGTCTCCATAACTTTAGAAAAAAAATATTACTTGCGTTTGCGCTTTGAAATGGTTTATAATGAAAACCACTGGATTCAGTCGCACGATGGACGCTATATCCTTTTAAAGTCACTGTATCTGGCTGAAAATACGTCATTTTCGTCCGTCATAAAATTAAGTATGTGCATTAAAAAAAAAAGAAGACAACTTGGCGGTATTTGTTTTTGCGTTAGGCCGGCGCTATTTGATTCGGCTTTCTTATCGAGCACTGACTCAGGTTTCGCAGTATTTCCCCGTGTTAGAGGCCTTCTGTATGCGTCAGGTAGCTTTGTTGAGTGAGCTCCTCGTCCGGCGCAGGTGCACCGGAGAAGCGACATCCGCCATGCTGCGTGTCTCGCTCCGCCACAGCACAGCTGCGATGCGCGCTTGGCGTAAATAAAAGCCCGCCGGAGCGGGATGGCGCACGCGCGCGGGTCGTGTGTTTAATTAAACATGTGCAAGTTGATGACTTACCAATAAATTTCTTAAGAACAGAAACGCGACTATTATTCGAAAACGTAGCCCGGGCAAAAACGAGACATGGGGGCAATACGCGACATTTTTAGTTTAGTGCGCATTCGAATCTTGCAACGTGACTAATTTTATACTTTGCCGACATGTGCCGGCACCTGTCTGCTTTACGCCATAAAATAAAATATGCTATAATTGGTGAGACAACGCTGGCGAAAAGAAAACATTGCGCAGTTATTGCTCACGGGTGGACGAGCCGAAAACAATGTGGTGAAATTCTGCACTTGCATTCTTCTGGAGGCGCGCAGCTAAATTTAAAAGAAAAAGCTACTAAGCCAAGGTAATTTCTTATTTTATTTAATCATGATGTTTCGAACCCGAGACTGTGGTGAGGGAAAATAGATGAAACTTTTAAGTCGAAGAGAAAAGGACACAAGAGAAGGCGTCTCAAGTACTTTCTTCGACTTCAAAGTTTCCTCTCTTTTCCGTCACCACACTCTCGGGTTTGAAACACCATGATTGACTATCACCAGCTCGCCAGCACGCTCGCTGTCTTTTCATTATTTTATTTGCCTGTCTTATTAGCTAACTGTGGATAAAATGTTATCGCTCTGAACTCTGTGTCAACTATTTTGTGGTACATTGTCAAGGCTAGCGTAGCTTCGACTGTGCAGCAGTCCCGTACACTCCTGCGAGAGCGCGTCTTTGACAGAGTTGGAGCACTCTGAAAGCCAAGCTAGATTTGACAACGCAGCACGAATCAATTGACGCCGAGTATAGGTTGTTGGTGTTATGAGTATAAAATTGTCTAAATAAGAGTATATGCAGGTTGCATTACCGACTTGATTTGCACAATGAATCTTTCGTTTACCTACCACATCTATGTAGGCCTTCGACTGTTCGAGGGGTAGAGTTCATAAATAGACTAACGATTTCATCTCAAACCGGGGTAAAATTGGGTCTCGTTTTTAATTTCGACGAAAAGACCATACGCTTTAGGGACGTTTCTACCTCTTGCCACTGCGGGAGAACGCCAAGAAAGCGAAACAGGAGGTAGCAGCTGGCATAAGTCATGGCGTTGCCCAACCAGGGCCCCTAAACTCGTCAAACACAAAGTTGGGGCCGAAGTTGAAGGAGCGCACTGATTGGCTCATCAGGACGATGACTTCGCGGTTCTTTCGCCGATGTCCAATGAGCGCGCTCCGCGAACTTTGGGCTCCAACTTTGTCTTTGACGAGTTTAGGGCCCCTGCAGAGTATCTAAGCAGCAAGAAAGACAGAACGGTCATGACTTATGTCTATGGTCATGGCTTGCAGCCATGAATAAAAAATTGGACATTCTAATATCCTTTAAAAACAGAGTGGACGGGATCGAGCATTCCATATAAGCGCTATAGACAAGTATGATTCAGTGATAAACCACATGACTCAGCGTGCGTGATAAAGAGCTAAAAGAATTAAAAAAAAGAGGACTGAAGAAGTAGAGAAAACAAATCAAGAAACCGAAGGAGCATGTAAATGAACTTGAGTGGAGGTCACGCAGACAGAACTTGGAAGTTCACGGCATTTCGATGACCGAGAAAGAGAATGTAATCGACAAAGTAAACAACGTGGCAAGAAAGTTGAACATACCAGTGTTTGACCACGAGTGATGTGGTATCAACGCTTAAGGCGCGTTCACACTCTTGCAACCGAGTACGACCGAGAAAGACTTCTTGGGACCGGATGCACTGAGCGGAGCTGGTCCTAAGAGATCGCAAGAGGCTTAAAAACCGGTTTGGTCTCTCTCGGTCGCACTCGGTTGCAAGAGTGTGAACGGGCCATTAGGCTTGCCTCGAAGCCTGATAAGGTTCGCGGAACCATTGTCAGTTTTTCAAGCCAAGCATCTCGGGACTTCAGGTTCAACAAGCCATCGAGCCTCAAAGAAGCTAAAAGTGGAAAACCTGACCCGGTATGAACGATCGTTCGCTTGGTCCACAAAGGACCAAACGAACGATTTCTGTGCCACACCTACAAGTATGTGTGGCACAGAAATGGCGATGGACTTATGGGGAAAGATGGAGAACGAGTGCCCGTAGTTAAGAGCGGAGACGACTTGGAGGAATTGGAGCAGAATTTCTACTCTGTCGTTATCTAGGATCTGTGTTCCCCTTCAATGGCAGACAAAACGTGTTTCTCGCCGAACGACGCTGGCAACATTTTAATACCCTAACCTAATGGTGTCTTTTGCTTGTTTCATTTGAATGCACAGTCACTGCAATAAATATGATCAATTAGACGCACATTCGAAGTGGCTTAGTATTTCTCTTGATGTCATTATGGCGACGAAAACATGGTATTGCAAAGAAGATACCACTAAATATTTAAACAACTATAGAGAATATAACCTATGTCGTACCTCAAAACGAGGGGGCGGACTTTATGTATATTAAAAAAAGTCTATGCAATGCTTCGTGAGCGATTAATTTACGGCAGTTACTGATGACTATGAAATTTCGACATTGCAATGAGGATAAGGCTTTTTGTGTCATTTATCGCTCTCCTGTGGGCCATAAGTCCCGTTTTGTTAAATATCTAGATTATCTCTTTATCTATATTGGTGATAAAAACTTGAGACTTATTTTGGGGGTGAAGTTAATATTAACATGCCTGTGTCATCGCCGGAACAGTCGGAGTTTTTGACGCTTTATCAGTCGTACGGATATAGCCGCGCGATTTGCAAGCAACCCGTTATAAAATTTCGAATAAAACTTCCCCCCTTACCCCTTACCCCTTACCCCTTCCCCCCCCCCCCCCCCCCCCCACACACACACACACACTTAGATCTGTTTTTAACAAACATGCCCTAGGCACACATTAATGCTGGAGTAATCGAGGCTACGATAAACGATCTGCCTCCTATCTTTTCAAGCGCAGCTGCTAGGCGCCCGTTTCCGCGTACAGCGGCATCAATTCAATTCCCCGCTAAATTTAGCGAAAAAACTAAATTGGTGTGTAGGTCTGTGATGTCCCATAATGCAACACCGCGCATTCAATTTCCCCACTAAATTAGGCGGCAAAATGGATCACACGACCTCAACACCAATTCAGTTTCCCCACTAAATTTAGCGGGGAATTGAATTGGTGCTGAGATAATAACTCGTCGCTGCCTTGTTAGTCTTTGTCCGTAGAATATCAAAACCCGCTCCCGATCGACCGAAATGACAGCTTTTGTACCCATTAAGGCAGTCGCGTGAACTGCTCAAAGCTTTCGATACTGTGCATGACCGACAGGAAGGTCGATAGATACGTCGTGAGCCTAATTGCATAACCAACATACCGCGAAGCTGGTAGGGAGCTAGCGCTAGCTCGACCTGTAACGTTTCTACTACCAAGAGGAATGAGGGGAACCTACTCAAGAAATAAAGTGTACGTACCAAACGTTGCAAAGGTAG